TATTTGCTTGATACGAATATTGTACGATTTTAATTATCGAAAGTCCAATGATGGACAAAGTGAAAAGGACAGTCGACCGCAAAAGTTTTTATTATCAAGTGTTCTAGTGCGTTTGCTTTTTAAAGTACATGAATTGTGTTTGATCAAGTATGAAATAGGTCTATAGAATTCACTTTACGTTTGTCTGTTTGATAAATGAACTTTAAATAATACCTACCCGGCGGCGTTTACTACCCAAGAGAATCGATTCCTATATACACGTTTTGAAATATTATTTTGGGCATTTGGTACTTAAATACTACATCGCTTGTACAAATCATTTTGAATAATCAACTACGGTTATGATAGCCATAATGAGAAGATGATGAATTCATATCGATGTAACCATTCGAGTTAATAAGACCTATTATGTACTTTCAGTCAGACGAATAAGTTTGGTAATTCGACATGGCTTCTCAAATTTTCGCCAGTTGTGTAATCCACTCCAATTGTATTGGGTTTCAAACAAAAGTTTCGAGTTTTGAAAAGAAAACCAACTCTGAAATGCACAATCATAATTTGTTTTTGAATGAGTAATTCGTGTGTGAATAATTAAAAGCTACGCTATTCTTATATTAGATGTTGTAATGGCTGAAAGAAAGAATCGATTAAATCTCGAATCTCTTTAAGCTTTTGCATCGCACATCACTTAAAAATGTAATTTATCGCTTCGACGGTTTCTCTTCATCGGCGTGTTTTCTAAACGTGTTCCATCTGCCAAATATCTGCGACTATGTTAGAATACCATTTTTTTTACGCAGAAAATAGATTCAAGCGAAGTAAAATTTGTGTTTATGTTAAAAGGCGGTCAAATGAGGGTAGGAAGTGATCGTTTTAACGGGAACGATAATAAAAATTAGTTATAAAATCGGCCAAAATTTTGCATACTTGTCAAAATTATGGCACAATATAGGCCATGTAATTTACATCCTGATTGCGAGACCATCTGCTCGTCTTTGGGGAGGTTTCCCGATTTTTCGCATAGACAACAACAATGCGTTGTTGCGGTTATTTTGGTATTCTCATTGTTGCACGCCTCTGTTCTCGGCCAAAACGAACAAACCATCGTGGTGTCAATGTTGTTTAGCATATAGTATTCATTATAACGCTGTATATAATATTTTATTGTTATAACTATTATTATTATAGTCGCCTATGTAACAATAACAATAATAATCACAGACATTGGCAATTTCGACCACTCAAAACAGCGAGCCAACGTTATTAGTAACTGTACTTATAATAAGTTATCGATTTTTCACGTCGTTTGCCGCGTAGCGATATTATTTGTTGCAAAAATGTTTAATGGCCTAAGCTTTTTTAAACGAATCTCGTGGTTAAAGTAACTACTACCTGCTTAAACATTTTAGTCGATATAATTTAAAACGATTTATTACTGTTTTGCTGTAATTATGTATTTAAACTCAGCTATAAAAATTCAATTAAATCACGTCTATTATTTTCAACCTTTGTTTGCTATGTGATTACAAAGCAATGTTCCCTTTTTAATATTTTGACAAATAAATGACAAAATAACGGCAATCCATATTTAAAATTTATAGCTTTATGTTTTTTAACTTGTTATTTACAATTGTTTTGTACCTTGTGTGTTATATTGTATTTGAACTACGATAAGGGTTTAAAAAGTAAACGTGAGCTTCCGCTTGTTCATACAGTAGCCAATCAACAAACTATTTGATTTATTAAGTTATTACTACGTGTATAAGTTGTGCACTAAAATATTTTTTAGTATATCGACAAAACAACCGAAAAAGCGTTTACGACTCGCGTGATACCGAACCCAAAAAAAGGCTAGTTAATGTTTTAAACTTCTAGTTGATATCTTAATTGAACTTGAAGTAATTACTCATTTCTATAAACTGTTTTTCGCGGGATATGGTAGGTCGAGTCATTCAAGCGTATCCAAATGTATTGAGTTTATTTTTTGTTAAAATTGTAATTTATTTCGATTACATCACATCGATACAAAATGTAATTTATGTTTCGCATTTAAAGTTAGAAAAAAATACATTGATTATGACAGCAGAATGATTCTATAAATTTCATATTAAATCTCAGGTATCAATCAACGGAATTGATTTCACAGAAAAACGTGAAAAATAATTTATTGATGCATCTCTGGCATAATATTATTATGTGTATAATTTGCCGTTTTATATGTATATATTTTTAAACGTCGTACCAATATGATTTTATTGCATTTTTACTAGCAACTATAAATTAAAATATCGATTTTACGGTAGAATAACATTTTATATTTCTTTTATGGGGTCGATAAATTAATTGACGGTCAGACCGTTCATTAGAAACATATAAAATAAGCTATTTATTTTTGCTACAACGAGTGTAAAAATGGCGGCCTAGTGTCAAGATTGAATTCTTGTAGAGTGCTGAGTAATATTTATTTAGCCCTACTCTAGACAGGACTAAAAATATGTCGACAATCGATTCCGTTAAATGTCAGCCAAACAATTTGACCGGTGCCAAAAACATCAGCCCCCCTTTAATGACTTACTTGTGCAGACCGCCACATAAAGAGTAATGAGATTCGATGCATTTTGTTTTTAAACACAGCATTGTGTAATTCTCTTGATTGGAATTTTACGACACAAGTCATCGTTAAAAACTAAATAAATATATCGTAATAGGTACGTATTGGAAAAAAAACATTTATAATCAATTCTTTCGACGACAAATCTAAAGATCAACGACAAATCTAAGAGAGACAGAAAAAATATAGAAAATTCACTATTGAGACGGGAAAAATCGGCTGTCAAATGGGAAATGACAACGGAATGCAATCCGCACGATAATGGATTGAATTTGTTTGCAGTCCCGACACTGTAGTACATAATCACGATGTGAACGCTTTGTTTTGTATTGCCATTGGTATTCCCGTCACAATATTCTTTCCACGTCATGCGATTTTTTCTTTCTCTAATTTAATTTTCTGTTATTGCGCCACTTAATGTCACTTCAAAAATTATAAATTAACTGAAAAACTTACGAAATAATGTATGGTATGCATTTTTGGAACAGCACTTTTTTAAATAATTCAAGAGTGTTTGTCATTTAAAAAGACTTTGTGCATGAAATGAGTTCATCATCTGCTTGTTGATAATACATTATCGGGATAGTCAATTCAATTACTTTTATTTGATCTTAGTTTTTTTCCAATTCTTATTGCAATCTTTTATATCCATTAATTAGTGTATGACTGACTGCTTTGAACGTATGTATTAAAAATGTCGAGAAAACCAGCCGCGCGGTGGTTCCTTTGCTCTCTTCAAACGTCTCCCTAGGGAACATCAAACAAGACCATTTTTCCGGCAATGTTTGTCTTCGCCATCTCTTCCTCTCACCCTATCGTTTGTTTCGACCTTTGGTCTGCTGTACGCACATTCGTTGTTTTCACTCAATTCCCGTGTCCAAAGAAAACGGCTTCCGGTCGTTTGTTTTGCGCTTCAATAACCATCTGCACCCTCCTACGCGTGTGTTGACCGAACTCTCTCAGCACCGTTTTCGACAAGTCAAACACGCATGCGAATTAAAGAACCTATGCCAGATTAAATTATCGATGACGGCCGTCTCCCGAAACGAGGGAGGCATTGAGTGTTTGTTCAATGGTATTAGTAGTTATACTAACTACATAGTACTATATATACTATGTACTTAGTGAACTACTTTATATAATGCCATGTATTTTATTATAGTTTAATGTATTTTTAGAAAATCATTTATTTTTTGTTTGGTCGAGATGGTATCGTGATATCTAAGTCGGATTAGAAGCACTATGTGTATTATATCATACATTTGTTGTTGGCCATACAGGGAAGTCTACGTCCTTCTTTGAAGTATTATATATTTTATTCGGCTGAAGGGGCATCGGAAACACTGATCGGCGCAGTTGTTGTCACGCTGCATATACCGTTTTATGTGCCGGAACAAATGTAATTAATGAAAAATAAAGGTCAATCACTGCAGTGCAACGGCGTATGCCGATGAAATTTCACAACCATGAGACAGCCGTGCAAAAGAATTATGATACGTACATAGTCGAATTAAGTTGTCCGGAAGAGTGCCGTATATAATGACAGCACTCTTGTAATGCGTTTTAATGCTTGTATTGACGTATAATGTCGTTAAAAGGAATTACAATGCCACCAAAATTTATATTTATGGTCCTAAGAAAAAAGGCATGTGTATCCATTGTAAACCACAAATGATACGATGGCATATACTGCAGGAAACAATAAAATGTTTAATTAGATATGATTAACATCCGGCATTTGTAAGAAATACTTTGAAATGCCTTGTTTAATTTCTCAAATACTCTAAAGGTCTTTCACGGTTAGCGAAATGAGAAACTTCAACAATCCCGTAAATAAATTTGTCGGAGAGGGAAAAACTTGGAAAGTTTTCAGAGTACTCAAGTAAATTTCGAAACGACGTTGAATCGATTAAATCGTTAAAGTTTCCAACTGCAAGTGTTTTTTTTTTTGCTCGAGACATTTCTTCTTGATTAATGATCTTTGCGAGACATTGAATGCGGGGTGAACTCTAAAATGATGTTACATGCGCCGATACAGAAGCTTTTGGATGACCAATCACTTGACTATTATCAGCTGCTTTTGACATAAAATCTTAGTATACAAACGTTTCAAACATGTTTTATTTGCTTTTCGTAATATTTCTATTAATACTATTTTTAGCAAAAAATGCATTTTCTTTTATAACAGTAAAGGTCTGCCAAAAAAACATTCTATATATTACAATAGTCAGTCACGTAGATTTAGATTATTAATAATGAATTTAATAGAATAAATATTTTATAACCTTTAGTAAAAAAATGTTGACTAATTAATTTTAACACATCAATATTAATTGGATTTTTTTATTTCATTAAAAATAATTTTGTAAAAAAATTATTATTAACTTACATGTAACTACTAGATTGGCTTTTTTACTAACGGCTTCACCTAAGGAGTTGAAAGCAATACACCAGTATGTACCGGAGTCCGAATCTCGTTTTCCGTGTGCTGCTTCTAAGAACAAAAGAGATCCATCCGGCAGCAAAGCTTTACGACTGTCTCTGGCAGTATCTACTGGTCGACCATCCTTGTACCACTTAGTCTCAGGTTTCGGCTGTCCGTCTGATTTGCAGTTTAACGTAGCGGGTTCATGTAATGCTACAGTCATGTCGGCTGGATGCTCAATAATCCGAGGTGGGCGACCACAATTTACGTCTAAAAATAATTAAATATAGATTTTAGTTTCCTTAGTACAGTAATAGCTTTAATATTGTATTAGGACACTCATGTGCTTTAGTAAGTGTCAATTTGTGCTTACAATATTATATATTGGTTAAGTTTAACTTCACTTTAAATATTGTGTAGCTACCGGATATTATTCAAGAGAGGTCTATGGAAAACAGTAGTGGAAAGCTATATAGTCAATGAGGGAAACTCTAGGCGCGGGTTTAATGTCGTGAATGCTAATACATGATGAAGCCTTTAACCGACTTTGTATTCTCAAACAGTTTATACATTCTCGGATGGCTGTTGTGAGCGATATATCCTAGATATTTAATTTAATAGATATATTTTTAATGGTTAAATATATTTAAAATAATGATGTGATTAAATTCAAAGAATAAACGTGAGTGTAATGTGACTACAACAAACTTAATGAATTCACACTATGACAAGTGTTTGCAAAAGCAATGTATCTACTCAAATTTAATGATGACAAAAAATTTAGAAAAACTCCGTTTTTAATTTTTTTTTTTATCCAAAAACAAATGTAGCAAATGAATGTGTACACAAGGGAGATACTTTGCTTTGCCGGTCAAGTGCTGTCATGTTGGATGTACGAAATGAGTGTGTCGGTAATATAAAAAGTTCTACTAGCTTGAGTTGACTAGCTGAGTTTCAAATTAACATTTCATTCTCCTTATGTTTATCCAATGGCGAATTCATTGTTGATGTTATTATATTCAATACAAAGTTCCGGTGTATATTGTAGTGAATACAACACACTAGTCTGAGGCATGTCTTTTGCCGTAAAAGGTAATTTGGGAGAGAGCGATGGAGAAAGAGCTGTTTTTATGAAAACATTTGTAGGGTAGGAAATTGTGACTCGAAAAGTTCCATGTTTGAGACGCATGAATTCTCAATTGCAAGTACAATACGTAGATATAAAATTATAAAACAACACCGTCGACGATGGCGCAATTTTCAAGTCATTTGCTGGAGTGTTAAACGAAAAGAACACTCACAAACAATCTATTTAATGAAAGCAGCCAAGGAAGTTTGTTGTACCTAATAAAATAATATACATTTTATTAGGTACAACAAATTGTAATTTATTTGTGTAGTTTTTCAAATTGATTAAACTTTACCATTTTGAGTACAATATACAATATTATATTAATGTCATTTAACTAATTAAATGTTTATTAAGAGTTTTTAATAAATGAATAAAAATATATTATGAAAGAAAAAGGGTGATATGAGAAACTTAAAACTTATCATTTAAGTCCAATATAACTTTGATGATAGTCATCTAGTTAAACTAAGCGATTATCTTACATTTTTGAAAAATTATTGCTGTCAATCGTAGTCAGTTAAGTTTAGAAGTTTTACAGAAAAAATCATAAGCATTCTTAAGGAATTTACGCAGATGAACAGTGAAGAGTCAAAATATATATAGGAATATTCGTTTGAAGTTCACAAAACACAAATAAAATTATCATCTAAAACCACAATTCATTAAAAATAAAAAAAATATTAGTGAAATATATTTTACTGATTATTTCTCTTTATTAATTTTTCCATGTCAAGTAAACACGTCGCCATAATTTTGGAATTTTAACGTTGAAAAATTCATATTAAATAAAAACTTACAATAAAAAGGGCGAGGAATTGTACTTAGAAGAGAGTGGTGCGCTTTAAACTGATGTTAAAAAATTGCTGTGTATAAAGTATGTTTTGTATGTACAACGTATTCTTAAAAAAAAACAGAAGAAGAAAAGTGAAACAAAGCTTTTTTATTTTTATTGAACGCACAGCTTGTCTGTTTTAACAAAAACCCATGTAAAAAGCTCAGTTTTTAGTAGTGATGGGAAGTGAGTAATGTCGAGAGTGCACTTTGTTCTCGGATCACGGTTGACCCTTTCCTGTTCACAAAAAACGACAAGGCAAAAGAAAGAAGAAATATGTATATTAATTATGTACTTGTCGTCGTATATTCCAAGTGGTTGACAGCCATCGGTGGCTTTTAACCGATTAAATATTTCACAGTCTCATAGTTTTTAAAAAATGCCTTTTTAGCGTCAAAATTGGTAGTCGTCTTCTGGAAAAGAACGAACCACCTCCCCGAGGCTTGTCTTATTTACCCCTAGTGTTCTTTTTAGATTAATAAATTTAATACGCTCTGAAGTGATGCTTGACGGTAATAAACAGTGGAATGGAAGTATACTACGAGGAAAAGTCCAAAGGAGCTATTCTAATTATTATTGTTATTACATGTTGTCTACCATGAAAATTGATTACACTACTTGACTGTATACTTGAAAGACCTTCGTGTAATGTAACACAAACGTGGTTGTATTAGCTGTACAAATGATTGACTATTTTCTTTTGCTAATATATTCCTTATTTTCGGTGGACACGCTATGCTAATATTACTTGTGTAGCAAATTGGCTATTTTATTTATTTTTGATAGTATAAAGCTCGTCGTCCATACCCAAATTTGCACGGTTGATTGTGTTGAAATGATTAAGCTTCTTCCGCGTTTTGAGCTAGGTAATAGTGAAAAAATAAAATAAACCCTTGCCGAACAATTTACTTGGCTCTTTGCCACGGAAGGGCAAAAGAATCGTTTCGTTATCTTAAAGTTGGAAGTTCAACACGCCAATAAACCATTATGAACAAGTAGACGGTGGATTTCATTCATTGAAATTGAACTTCTTGCGGTAATATTGCAGTGTGGCTATACTTGTCAATCAATCCATGTGGGCGAACGACAAGGTTTAATTTATTTATGCGTTCTTAAGTCAAGATTATTTTTTCGATAAGAATTAATTTGTAAAAAGTGGAAGTTTTATTACCCATTGGCGTATTTCACGAAATAAAATCTATAAAATATAACGGGCGAGGGACTCACATCGAATTGTGTATAAAAATTGCTTTTGAAGAATTATTGCGATGAAAGTTAGAAAAAATAAAAATAATCTCAAATTGTTGTAACACAAAAAAAAAACTGCAATAAATAACTAGTTAAAACGGGTTTGTGCACATGTGAATCGTATACCTATATTTTGTTTTATAATTCCATTATGAAGTTTTCGAACGAAATTCCTATGAAGGAAAAAACGTAATCACAATACGTGCCTGGCGTTTGTATTATTATAGTTGGTTTTTTTTTACTTATTGCTCGTCCCGAAACGCTAAAGTTTATACCCTGCAGTTGTTTTTTCCTCGAGGCTTGTTCAAAACGACTATACTTGTTTGTATTATAGTTCGGGTCCATCAATAGTGCGCTATTAATCACCATCCTGAACGCGGTCTGCCGTTAGAGATAACAACGTTAAGGTAAAATTTCGGACCGACAGTGCAGGACGTAAACGTCGGAAAAGTTTGGGTCTTTGTTTTTCCGTTGTCCGGAGGTTGTTCGACAGAGATCGCCTTTTACATACTAATTATGCCATGTGTGTGTCTGTGTGGGATAGTATCATAAGGGATTCTCCCCCAAGTTGTAGCAGAACCAAACTACTTTACTTAATTGCGAATATACCGCAAAACTCGGGGGTCCTTTGTCAGGGCGCCGACCAAAATCGAGGAATTCTCTTATTTTTTCATCCCCCAAAATTTTACAGTCGTCGAACAATAGAAGATGGGGCGGTGTATTTATGGCGAAAATGCGCACATATCCTGTTGAATGGGCTGCGGATGCCGCGATCATGTACTCTTCATCGTTATATTGAGTGTGTGTGAAAATAATGTTATTGTATCGGTGGTGATAATCCGCATCGGGTCTTTGCGGTTGTTGTTGTCATCGAGTGTATACTAAGTCCGGCTGTGGCGTATAGTTGCGCCCGTCACGCTGAGATCAATAATAATGGCCTATTCGCTGAACGTGCAACTCTATACTCCTTTTCGAGTATGTGTATATGTCAATCCCATGGGGAGGCAACTGGAAATAATAATTTTTGCCTCCTGGGGTGATTCGTGTGCCGTAAAGGTTTCTCTAGTGAATTTAAACGATTTTATCTCGGGCTAGTCGAACTACTATTAAGCTACAATAATCGAATCGTTATGATTGTCCATTGGTTGAACTCGGTACATACGAGCAAAGAAACAAAACGAATATATTTTTTACGGTGGCTGATGAATAGTAATTGATTGCAAAAAAGTACGACAAGGGGACAAGGTTTAACGTATACTTGTGTATCGTTATCTAGGTGATCAGTGGGATTTTGTGTTTCCGTGTATGTAGACGTGATGGATTTGAAATGATCGATGAGATAAAAATGTGACCAAACACCTTCGAAATCGAGATCGATCAATGCCAAAAAGTAAATGCATTTGCACGAGTTCAAATCAATGAGCAGTATTTTAAATAATAACAACACGAAAAATAATCATTTATAATGTAACAGACTCAACTGTTATGTATTCGACTACATTATTATATTCATTATATTTGTGTAAAAAGACAGAAAGTTCCATTTCAAATATACGATGATTACAGAGTTTTAAAACACTAAACAAAGTGTAACATTTATAATTGCTGGAAAATCACTCATTTTTATTTTGTCATTTAATTGAGCACCTTTATTAGTTATTTTTAAAATAATTATATAGGCTTATGACGGAATGTTTTTTCTGTACATTATCATTGTTTTTTTAGGATCGTTTACTTTGAACAATACAGTCTACATTTATGCGTTTATATGGTGTCTAAACAATTAATTAAATTCACAGGCTTAAAAATATTTGCTTTGGATGGGCGTTGTGACAATACGTCACATAATATGAGATGGAGACTTTTTTCACTAAAATTATTACATTGTTGGTGTATTATATCCAATAAAATGAAATGCAGTAAATAACGTAGACTAAACTACATTGAAATTATTAAAGTTGTACTTTTATTTTTTTTTAATCTCACATTATACTGACTTTCATTACGATAATGCATTTGGTAAGTTGAAAAAAATCTACTTTGTTTCATTTTGAAGGT